CGAAGACTAAACGGGGTCCGGCGTAGGCTGCTTTATCAAATGCAAGCCAAATTACCGTCTAACTTAGGCTTAAGTGACAGTAGACTTTGCGCGGGGACTACTGTGCTATCTACCCTCACTCACCCATAGTGAGTGTGAAGACAGGTCCAAGGGGGCTAAGACTGATACGGCTACTACTATTTTTACTACTACTGGCCACCAATGTAGCCGAGTATCGGACGCTAAAATTTGTCAGAAGTGACGTTGGTTTGAAGCTTGCGCTGGGACTCACACCTTTTTGGTCTGAATAAGGAGTGTGAATCTGGGTTTAAGCTATGTCGAGTAAGTACATGCTTGGGGCCCTGAGCACAAGAGCGTTTGCCTTGGTTTCCGCACTCTCAACTCTATCCATCGAGTTGTACGGACTAAGATACTACTGCTATAGGTACGTGCCTATGCGAAAAATGTCTACGAAGGCCAGTAGATAGTATATTATAAGTACTGCCTGTGTGTGCTTTTTAAGAAGTCGCACCCAGTATGCACTCCCAATCTGTGTGAGGTCGAGATGGCCAAGTAAGAATAAGGCGTAAGCCGCTTTCTCCAGATGCAGCCAGAAACATCGCCTAACTTAGTCTTTAGTGACAGTAGAGATTTTAATCGCAATGATGGTGCGAGGGTGATATAGGGCACACTGAAGATCAGTGTCTGACTTTTGAGTACCTTGGTGAGCTTTCGGTGATGCAGACTAGTTGAGTGTTTGACTGGTGCATGTTTACATAGTAAACCGCTTCCATAAATATTTTCGTAAAAAGAGTACTACCCAACTAATGTGTACTTTTTGAGTTTACCTCTGATACCTGTCAACATATTCATACACACTAGCCACACTTATAGTTTTTTTTTAAATTGGAACTCAATCATGATTTATTGCATTCGGTTCATTTATTTAATCGCCCTGCCAGCACCGACCACTCCATGACTCGCGGGGTACGAGGGAGATTTGACAGGGATAAAGGAGGCACAGGCGGAGATATTGCGGGGCAGTTCACTCATATGGCACCCTCATGCAAAAAATGCGCAGGAGGACGCTTGTATTCGCGATACTGATAGCCCGGCCATACGAATCTTCTACCCACTGTCCAATAAGGTAGAACCCAATACGCTGATTAAGGGTGGTAGTTATTTTATTGATAGGAAAAATAAATTGGAAAATGTGTACAGTAAATAATATCGTTCGTCCTTCGATGGCACAATTCATAGGAAGCATCGCTTTTGCCGCCCACAGCTGGTCCCTACAATATTAGAAAACTGTAAACAGGTGCTAAAGGACTTTTAACAAATCGGTATTAAAAAGCGCCACTTTAATAATAATATATATATAGATACAGATAAGAAATGGTTAAACATTTATGTTCAAGACCATATAGAAGAATACATATAAATGGGCACTTACACTACTTCCGTGGTCATATTTCCCTGTGGTGTGGTTCCCGACTCTTCGAACGTACGTACACGAAGCATCGCCTTCACCATATGCAGCTAGTTTCTGGAAAAGAAGCGATTGTTTGATTAGAGGTTTACCTGTGCAATTTACAAAATCTGATAAAAACGCTCATGATCCAATTCTATGGGTTATTTAAAGCAAATATTACTTCAAAATCGATCACGAAAAACATCTCGGGGTCCATCCAGGAACCTATCGGAAAGTAAAGATGGATTATGAATACAAGGGACTTAAGATAACGATGGTATTACGCATATGCAAAGAATGCAATCAAGGCTCGTTAAAATTCAAATGCAATTACCTGTTGTATCTACGGCACAGAACGTATGCGACACTGGTTAATTCCATCAATGTATGACTTGACAGAAATTCGCTTGCCATCAGTTGTCCCGAATATTCCACCGAAAAAAAATGAAGTTGGACTTCTGTCCTTCGTTCCATTACTTCGGGTCACTTTTTCCAGACGCCGGCTTACTCCTGAAGGCTGGTGCCAGATATATTCTTTAATTTCTAACGAAAGTGAACAGACAGTTATCTATTTTGCCGGATATCTGTAGCATTCCGCAAGAAACTGCACCTCACAGAGCGGCTTTTCACTGGCACATCGGGTTAAAAATGAAGGAGATCGGTACCCTGACTGCTACCGATAACTCATTGATCATGCACTGATTGCCATTTAGGATACTAATGACGAGAAACTATTCCCTCGATTAACTATGATGTCAGTAGCGATTACCGGGAAATTGTAGCAAAGCTTCGTGGGGAAATGGATGGATGTTGAATGCCAGGCTGTACGATGCGCTGTATGGGGATGGACAGCACACCTTTGAGCTTGATCTACATGGTGTAGTTGTTGTGGGCCATACTACCTCTTCAGGCATGACGATCCACTGTCGTAGATAGGGACCACCAGTCTTTGTCGCCTATTCCGAATATGTGCAATGTTATCATCAGTCAGTATATTGGGAGTGAATTATAGAAGGCCTTAAAAAGTCCATTGAGACGGCACAGGTACGCTTAAAATGTACTTAAGTTGCAAATTTTGCTACAGGTTTTATGCGTAGGCGAAGTTCATAAAACTAATAGTTAAATATAAATGGTCAAAAGGGTGAGACCTTTGTGAAATAACAGCGCACATCCCGTTCACCGCAGATAGCGTTGCCGGCAAATATATACGAAGACTGGAGTGGACAGTTTTGTCCTCTTAGCTGTCGTCAGCCATTCAGACCCAATCCCAAATGGTGCTCCACCCGCACGACTGCTGCTACGCTCGAGACCAGGAGCACCGTGGTAGGTTAGTGATCGGTGAACCTTCATCAACTCGTTCACTGCATTGCGACTCTGAAATATTCATTTGAGTCAATTTTAGTGTAAGCAAACAGTCTTTTAATGTCTGAAAGTTTATGTCTGTAGTCCTTTCTGTAATTCGCTATATAAGCTTTTGAATTTTCGAGTTGATCATGAATATGTGATTATTCAGGCGTCACGTTAAAATACTTACAATGGGAGAATGCACAACATACGTAGACTGTTTGAGAGAAAAAGGAAGTGTTAATTTGTGCGGCACTAATAGTGAAATAGAGATGGTCAAAGGACGAAACGTTTGATAACAACTCGTCTAGTGCGGGTAGCATTGCCCACAAAGACAAGGGAGTCTGTAATGGGCATTTCTGGCGTATCAGTCGTCGTCAGCCAGTCATACCTAACCCAAAGTGGTGGAGTTCAGGAATGAGTTCCAATGCAGAACGGAGTGAGTGAGTTCTTTTAGGGATCGACGAACATTCACCGCATTTGTACTATGAAATGTTCACCTGAGTCAACTTTAGTATAAGCAAACATTATATTCAAATTGAGGGAGTAGTATGTTTGTAGAAATTTCTGTAATCTGTTAGACATGATTTCTAAGTTTCGAGTTAATTGTGCGCAGGTGATTATCCGGGCGTCACTTGAAGATGCTTACAATGGGGGTTTTTAGAGCACACGTTGTTCAACGTTCCACTGTCTCTTGACCGTTTGAGAGAAAAAGGAAGTGTTGATTTAGGAGACACCGCTCGTGTCTTCAACGGGTAACCATGTCCTCTGAGATTCTCTCATGATGCGACCTCAAAGAGATCATTCCATGTGGCATCCCGACCAGTTCTCTTTAAGAACTGAACCGTTCCTCTAAGGTCACCTATGTTCTATCTATAGTGGTGGGGATAGAGATTCAAGGTAACCAGGCATTTCTCGTGCGTCAATTGCTTAAGTTCAGGGACCACTATCTCGTATATCTTCTGCAGCAAGTATTCCTATTGACGCACATCTGCCAGGGGTCATTTGTCGGCATAGGACAGTTGCAGACTCGTACACGTGATCGCGGCTGGGGAAAGGGTGATATAGATAAATACCGAGTCGAATAGTCAAATTACCGCCTCTATTTGCATGGACCTAAATAACTGTTCAATTGCCGCCCCTCGCAGATGTGTCGCCAGAGTAATCTGCAGGGTTTGGTGCTATCATCCAAACAGAAAGCCAACAAGTAATCTGGTCACGTTGGTTAGATGCGGTCGATCAGCGCTCGCTAGGCTGCTACCACATTCCCCAACGTGAT